GAATGGTAGGTGTGTGTGTTACGTGTTCGGGTGTGGGAGAGAGAGAGAATTTCCCTGGCGGCTAAGTAGAGGAGACGTACGGATTATGTCCACACAGACCCTTAGTGTGTCTGCGCTAGCAGGAATAATAATACCGCAAATGGTTAATTAAATTACCGACAAACAATTTAAGCGCGAGTACATCAACGTTTACTTTCAGTGTGTGACGAAGGTCGCCTCCGAGGGGGGCGGGAGTGATGACATATCAAGGAGCTAGGCAACCGGTGCGATCTATGTGTAAAAAAAAATTTACCGTGAAGATAGTTTTTGCCAACGGCGGGTGACGAGATTTACGACCCTTTCGGGTACGAACTACAATACGGTATGCATTTCGTGCACACACAGACATTCCGTGTTCTAACACACTCCTTACGGAGAACCCAAACAGGAAAATACCGACTCTACTTAGCCACACTTGTAAAACATACTACCTACAACACTTACCGGACGGTTTTTGGACCAACTTGTGTTAGTTAGAAACAGACGAACACGGACTTACGTCTGATTTCTAGGGTTCTACGCGTGCACACCGAGATCTTAGGGAGATGGCGGACGACACCCAGATGTATAGCTTATTTTCACTCTCGTTGTGACCTTGGTTTCCCATTGTCGGTGTACAAGCTAATTGGGGTTCCTACAATTTACGTTGGGAAGTTAAGTTTCAAAATTCCGTAGTTATACAAGGATAACATGGATATCACACTATGGAAACAAACTTATGACACTTTTTACTCTGGTGTTCCTTGTGAAGTAAACAACTAACTAAAATAAAAATAAAATAATTTAGAAAATATTCAGAATAAAATAAAGTAATATCAACTATCGTGATGTCATTAGCTACGGAAAAGTAAAGATATACATTTAGGCCATTTGAGGTGGTGGAGGGGGAGGGAGGGAGGTGCGAGCGTGTACGGTGTGCACACGCTTTGGTTTTGTTTTACGAATAGTACAGGTGACATTTGGTCCCAAGGTTGAAAACAGTCACACAGGAGAGAGAGGGGGGGAACCTCTTCTTTTAGTATTCACCCCGGGGGGGGTTGTGGTTTATCAGTACCATGAGATCACCGCCGCGGTCCTATAAAAAAACCCCACTACCGCCCCCATCACTGCCAGTATCCACGAGTTTGTAAAATCCAAAGGGTAATTACATGCCTGCGATGTCACACTTAAAAGACGTTTGTAGGCGGTCGTTTAGTACACTGCGCAATGTTGACTTATAATCGAGCTAGCCTATATCCCATTAGTCCCATTACGCGAATAACAATATCCCACCCACACCTGGAGTAGTTCATCACCCCAGACCCCCGTACGAAGAGGGCCTTTGCTAAAAAATTTATAACTTCAATTCGTAGTTTCCCGTGACCACCTCGTTTTTTTCCGATACCAATGTAGGCAGCGGGTGGGATATACTTGTTATGACATTTTGTACAAATAAACCAGAGAGAAGATACCTCATACAAATCGATTAGTGCGACTATCATAAAGATGGCAAGAATAAGACATGAAAAGATTTGGATATTACTACGTAAATATTGCACACGGAGCCTTCTAACAAATAATACTGGTTGTAAACTTAGGGACTCTATTGAACTGATCAATGCTATAGATTAGAGTCCTCAGGTAAATAAGCGCTGACTCGGAGAGCCAGACCTGATCCTCTCCTGCAGAGGAGGTCGAAACAACAACTTTTTTGAGAATTATAGGCAATCGAAGACCAGGAATCGTCGAATGCGATTGTTGATGATAGACGCCATGGGGAGAGAGCGAGACGTGCGTGTGTGTTATTACCGAGCGCAAGGTGTTGTGTGTCTCTCAACTTTACTGGTGTGTCTCTGTCTGCATTAATACTACATAGTATAATACAAAGCTAGTATTAAAATGTTAATACAAAAACAAAAAAAAAAAGTACATCACAAAAAATTTTCATCGGTAAAATGAGGGAACGTGTATGTTTCTGGAAGTGAAACGAGGCAGCAGAAAAACAGAGGTCTGTGATGTATTTTGTGAAACAGAAGAACAGCTAAATAAATGCAACGGCCTCCAGAAGAGCTCGCCTCTCTCCAGTCATTTAAGCTAAAGTGGGTTATTGAACCTGAAGCTTGTTGCTTCTGCCCTCCTTGACTACGGTCTGCGAGCCGACAGGAAAGTTCAACACACAGATGGCCAGTCCGCCCCTTTGTAGCATATTATTTCGATGAGAGATGAGCAGATCGCCACTGGGCTTTCAACTAAATACACAGCCACGCAAAAACTGCGGCATTTGTACAGCTCCTTATGGGTACTGCAATTAGTGAAGTGCTTTCCTCCGTGGTGAAACGATCAGCTCTAGACCACGGAGGAAAGCGGCAGAAAGTCGCTTGGAGTTAAAGAGAGCGGGGCTGCGTTACGTGCATGGCTTCCTTCTGCAGGTAACGGGGAGACACGCTCTGGCGGCGGTCTCGATCAGGATCCGAAAATACAATTTAAATATTTTTGCACACTTATTCCACTTATTCCTAGTGTGCCACTGGTTACGTGGCACGCGTGCCAGGGGTTGCCGACCCCTGATTTAGAGTGTGATCATAAACCAAACTTCAAACAGAAGTCTTATTAATGAGCCTACGTCAATCACTGTGTTATTAACCTGTAGTGTTCCCCTCAAAGCCAGAGCATTGGGTCGTGCTCGTGCAGCAGTGTGAAGTTCAGTGTTGAACGCTTGTCAAAATCGCTCCCCATTGACAGGAATCTATTGCACAGCCTGCGTTGTTTTCGTGTGCGAGTATAACACTGCTGGTGATCTTTACAAATAACCTCACTATGGTGATTCTGACATTTGCATGGTGCAGAGGGAAAAGGCTGACCTTGAGGTTTGAGAGGCAGTTGTTGAGGAAAATGTGCCAGCGGCTGAGGAAGAACTGCTTCTGACTGACGCACAGCAGGCAAGTCACCAGAGGATACAGAGCCTGGTGTGAGAGGGGAGAAGACAGATGGCAGACATTTGCATCAGGCACTTCAAATTCAAAGTTCATTCATTTAATGTAAATAGAAAATAAAAGATTAGGGCTTATTCCCAAACCAGTTTTCAACAGGAATTCAGCGTATACGTTTATAGGTTTCAAATCTTAGTAAAGTCAATTAAAAAAAGGCTCAGAATCAATCCTTTCAAGCTGATATCAAAATGTTTGGCTTTTCTTTAATGATTATAAAGTGTTCCGTACATTATTTGAGATAATTTTTCACAATCAGGTTGCATTGGTTTCAGGCCCCATGAATCCTGTATTGGCCAGTTATCCTTTATCCTCTATATATTTTACTTTTCAAATGAAGTTTATTGAACAAAACAAAACAAAACAGTCTGACCCTTAATTAATTTGTGGATTATGTATTGTGATCACATTTTGTGTAGATAAAATGTAGATAACAACAGTTTAAACAAAGTTCCTAGCAAACCTAGAAAACCAAGTTCACACACAGGAATGTGAACTATGTGTCTGGTCTGTTCAATCATCTGCTAAATTCATGTTAGTCTGAAGTGCTTGCATTCTTAAACCCCTTGTCATGAATGGTTATGGAAATGGTGGGTTTGAGGAGTATATCATGTAACTGTCACTCCTTATCAAAGTTGGTATTTGTTATCGGTCTCCCTCCCATTTCAGTGTATCCCCTCTCAGGTACTCAAAAGAAAACAATTACTGTAATTCCCCACGTCATTGTCATTCCTGTCATGGCTGCCCATTCTGCTCTGACATGGGAGGCTATTGTTTGTTTGTATGCATGCATGCTAATGCACTGGTCATATATTCCAGTGTGTTTACAGAGGGGTGTGTCGAGCATTGGATTTTTGCTCTGCAGTATTTGGAGAATCTAACGAAGGAAACGTGCGGACTGGCTGAGTGACATGTATGCAGCCCTGAGGACAGGAGTCTGTGGCACATCACAAATAGCACCTCAGCCACCCGCAAAAATAAAACACAGCAGCGAGGTGCCGTGTATTGTTATCCAATTAGTCTGCTGCGGATTGTGAAATCAATCCGAAGGCTGGGCAACGTTAAAGAGAAATACTAAGCAAAACATTGCCTTAGCAAACATTGCCTTAGCAAGCATTGCTGCGCTATTTTTAAAAATCGAATTATCGCAAGAATCTTCTAAATACCTCTTTTAAAATGTTTGAATTTACATTGTGAACATTTTAGGGTTTAAATATGAATCACTCGTTTCACAACAACAAGACTTGAGGAACTAAACTACAGACTAAAAAACAATAACCAGGAAATAATCAGGTTACATTTTGGTAAGAGATAGTTAACTGATTCATAATTTCCTTAACATTCATGGTTAAAACATTCAGGCTATGACAAAGCGAATTGTGATCCCGGTCCTGACACGGGAATGTCATGTTTTATAGTATGCTTGTTTAGGTGAGACCACTATCTTAATAAGGGAAATGTACTGCTTCTAGTTTGCTGATTTCCCTGCCCCTGATTTCCTTCTGCGGGCTAACATTGTCCCTCTGGCACTGCTAAAAAAAACTAGCCTGTTTCACTGCACACTGCACTCGTGTCTCCTGCCCATGGAGAGATAAACACCCACATGTTGGAGAGGTACAATAAGTGCTTTCACCAATTAGTGTTAACAGAGAGGATATGAAAAGAGACGAGAAGTGATGAAGAGTACAGGTGAGGAGAAGGTTACCAGAGAGTGTTTTTTCCTAGAGGAAAGGTCCAGTGTGGTATCGTATAAACTTTCGACAAAGTTACGTAGACACGGAACGTTCACCTCGTTCTTCACAGTCTGGGGGAGAACAAAAAAGTGAGTTTATGAAAGTATTTTTTACTAGACAGCCGTTTCTTTATTCTACTTTACTTGCATGCAGGTCGACAGACAAGACACTATATAGTCACCATTTCAGTATTAAGATCATTCTCAAAATATACACATTATATAGCAGAAGGATACACAGACTTATTATTTTAAAGAAAACAATGCCAATAACTTAAAAATAAATGAAAGCGCACTGAGTGGTGCTCTTAGCAGTGAGATTCAAATGCACTTACAGCTGCAACAGGTACAAGTATCTCCACAAAGAGTCCAGCTAATGAGTGTTTAATGTCTTTATCCTTCACTTCCAAGAAATACTGCGCACACTCCTGAAGACATAAATAGAACAAGAGTCAGACACAGTGAGAAAAACAATATGTGTACATTCTATGAACTAAGGTCAGCAGTTCAATCGCTTATTATGGGTTAAGGAAAAGAGAAACATTCTCACAACTGCAACAACCATCAAAGGTACAATAAGACACTTGTAGGACATTAAGACACTCTTATTTCTCCAGTGGAACTTCTCAGTACTCAATAGGATAGATTCATGATACTCAACTGCTTCCAGACATGAATGTATGTGAAGAAAGAGCATGTCTGTCCTGAAAACACTTCTACACCAAAGCCTCTTTACAATGTGTTGGTATGTAAATAACAGTTAGGGGCCACACTGATGTATGCTCTACCTGCATGAACTGGAAGGAGGCTTCAAAGTCTTCCACTGGGTACATTTTGATGCGGAAGAACTTGAGTCCCATGATGAGGCTGATAGTGGACTGGATGACGTAGGGGCTCTGCTCCTTCGGCCTCAGCTCCTTCAGCTCCGAGATGAACTTCTTCTTCACTGCCGGGAACCTGTCCGGGTAATGGCGAGCAGATGTGAGATTGGCTCTATTCTAGTAAAGATCTAATAAATGTTGTCATACCCGGGTCTCAGCTTAGAGGTGGTATGGTTAGGGGGATTACAGTCAAAATGTCCTCATGAATGTTTATTTGCTAATATTTAACTAAACTCTTACTCCTACGCACCTGTTTCTTGCATGTGAACATGGGTGTGTGTGTGCTTGCATATGTAACCACTATCCAAATAGATTTTTTACCAACAGTGCTCTGCAGGCCTATTATTAGAATGGCATCTGTAGGGGTGATGTGGAGGGAATGTGTGTGTGCGTGTGTGTGTGTGCACTTCAAGCGTGTGCTTAAGTAAGTGGAACAGTCATCACCAGCCTTCTGTTTAGTGCTGACTATTTAAATAACATACACATAAACCCTATGATCCGTAAACCAAGCTGGAAAAACACACACACATAATGCCAAGAAGTACAGTATGTGTCGAGGTTGTTTATTGCCTATGTGTACTGCACTGATCTGTACTGGAAAATGTAATACACTGAAAAACTTTAATCAGGTGGAAAACCCATCATCCACACAGAAGAAGGTCTGCTGAACCAGATCTAAAAGCATGGACTTTGATCCATTATTTGATCGATGACTGGGTTCAATTATGTGATAGCTCAGCCAATGTGTGTGTGGGCGTGTGTGTGTGACAGCAGTGACTAGGCCGCCCTGTGAACCTCCTCCATCACGGTAATAACCTCCTGCAGAATGGGAACAGGGCTCATCTCTCATCACATAACATTACGCAGACAGAGGACCATCATCTGGAGTGTCATTATCCTCAGTTGCCATCACACACATATTTACCAGCACACACACACACACACACACACACACACACACACACACACACACACACACACACACACACACACACACACACACACACACACACACACACACTGCTTAGTAATTGCTGTTTCCATTGGAAATGGGGTCAAGGGGAGGACAGGTAGCTTTTGTAAATACGTGTTTGATGCAACACCCTGACCAGCACACAGCTGCGACAAGACCTAAATAAAAAAATCAGCATTCACTGAAAATAAATTGAATTATTTGATTCTAAACTGTGAAAATAAATAAATAAAGTCACCTTTAAAACTGAGTTGTATGTATTTCAAGTGATAGCCAAGCATTCCTTGTGAAAAGTGGCAAACAAAATCAAGGGATTTTCAAAAATTGATTTGTAGCCGATTGGGGATTACCTCAACACATTTACAACAAACAGGGTGAAATAATGTGATGTCAACAGATAAAATAACACCCTGTTGATATACAAACATTTCATGTGTATGCACACACAAACATACAAGCAGTATAAACATTGATTTTCACAGTACCTGGACTGAGCAACAACTCCCACCACCTCAGCGTAGAGGTCAGCCACTATGTGCATGTTAGCTGTGTTAGGTCCAAGATACCTGAGAAGTAAACACAACTATTAATACCATAGCATATAACGATGTGCATAACTGTGATACGACACACAAACGTTTATATATATTTTTGAATTTGCATAAATGCATTTTGATGTCAAGATTGTATGCTTATGTTTCAGCCAGTCAGAAAGTGAAGACAGTGTTTTTATTGCATTTCGGTAAATATGTTGTGCTTCTATGGTCATTCTTACCCTTCTTTGTATTTGAAGTGCTTGAAGGCCAGGTTTATTACTTCTTGGATGAGTCCATCCAAAAGAGGATGAAGGGGGATCTGCATTGAGATAAAAGCGTTATCATTGTATGCTAAATCAAGCCAAAAAAGTTTATGTGTTTTAACAAATTAATTTAAACGAGAATTATTGCTGGATCACACATATGCAAATTAGTTTAAACATACACATTATAGGTGTGTTTTTTTGTATGTTTCTTTCCCTTAACTGTCAAGTAGGGCTGTGCGATTATGGCAAAAATCATAATCACGAATATTTTGGTCAATAATTGATATCACGATTATTAAATACGATTATTCATTGACTTTGAAAATATCAATTTATTGAACTTTAAAATAAATACAAATAATAATTTGAACAGNTGCAATTAATCGTATTTTAATCGCAATTACGGTTTTTGCCTGCCACAATTACGAAAAAAACATAATAGGAAAAAACGATTATTTTGCTTTGCTAGGTTGTGACAGTGCACTACAACATATTTGATATCATTTATTTTGGTCTAAAGTGCGCTACAAAATATTTGTTAATCTTGTTTATTGGTATTTATTATTTTGATATTATTTNCAGTTGAATTATACGTTCAGGGTAATCAACAGTTAAAAAGATACTGTTCAAATTATTATTTGTATTTATTTTAAAGTTCAATAAATTGATATTTTCAAACTTTGAAAATATCAATTTATTGAACTTTAAAATAAATACAAATAATAATTTGAACAGTATCTTTTTAACTGTTGATTACCCTGAACGTATAATTCAACTGAAAAACCAATACAAAAATTCATTAAATAAATGATACATTTAAATAAATAATATCAAAATAATAAATACCAATAAACAAGATCAACAAATATTTTGGAGCGCACTTCTACAAGCTACTAAACATATATTAATATGATAAATACAAAATAAATGATATCAAATATGTTGTAGTGCACTATGTCACAACCTAGCAAAGCAAAATAATCGTTTTTTCCTATTATGTTTTTTTCGTAATTGTGGCAGGCAAAAATCGTAATTGCGATTAAAATACGATTAATTGCACAGCCCTACTGTCAAGTGGGAACTAAGCATTTTTCGTACGTTTTTGTGTTTCTCTTATTTTCCTACGATACTGCAATGATTGGCTGTGAATAAGAAAATATGAAGGACAGACCATCTATTTCTATTTATTATTATTTTTGGAGAAAGGGGCAGGTAATAGAAGAAATATTGTCTTCTGCCTGCTCCTGTTCGGGTATGGTGTGTTTATGGAGACATGTTTTTTAAACAATTGTTATACATTGAGTTTGTGCATACCATGAACGGAACAAATACAAATGAAATGAAATATATTTATACACAAAGTATATTGCTGAGTTACTCACCTGCTTCAAAACTTCTATAAGTACAAGAGAAAAGATGAAGTCTATCGACAGGTCTCTCCTCTCCAGTAAGTAGTCTTTCTGTTGCTCATCACTGACACAGACACAGGGAAACAAAGACAGAGAACATTAGTGTTGTGTTGCCTCTAAAAGTCAAATAAGTCTGGCAAGGACATACAATATTTTGACAGTAATGTATTCGACATTTCCTGTCCACCTGACATGGTGTTTGATTGTTTTTTTCTGTGTGTGAATGTGAAAGTTTAGACCTCCAGATCTATTCTAGAATCGCATGTGGGTGCAGAGAAGAGTTTTACAGTTGAATGTGTGTGAGCTGTTGGGTCCGCTCACTTTTTTGACTTGGTGTTGGCCCTGGGTCGATATTCGTGGGACTCGTCTTCCAGGCCGTTCTGCCTCTTGTACCAGTCGAACAGAGTCCTCAGGATGGACGGCAGGCAGTACTCTGCAAGAGAACTCATACTGCTGATCAACTGCAGGGGGCGGAGGAGGAAGAGCAGGTGAAGGTGAGTCAAGATAATCTCATTGTCAAAATAAAACAATGTTCGGGTCAGATGTGGATGACATAGGATAAAAAGGGTGAGGACAGGTATAATGTTTCAGGCACACGGACCTGGTCAAACTGTGTGTCCTCTCCTCTCTGCAGAGATTTGTTAAGTGGCTTCTCCTGTGATATAAGGAAACATCCATGTAAGAAGAGATCAGAACAGGTGGAAACATTGTTTTTATGGAACTTTGAGACAGGGAACAGCAAGTTTAATGCCTTGAAAATAAGTTGTAATCCAAACTTAGACCAAAGTGTCACTGCATTGTCTGAATTGGTTTAATATATCTCCAGAGTCCAACTGTTAATAATGAAGACATCTTGAAGCTTTGTTGGTGTTCCATTTTCAGATAAATGTAAATGCGATCATCGGCTGAGTGCTTAAAACAGGCCCAGAACCAATGTCATTACTTAGCATCAGACTAGGTTCTCCAGGCACTAATCTTGTTATGTTCCTTTTATGAAACATACAGTATCAGGTGTTCAACCCTAAGTGCTATAAACATAAAGGGGAAAACTTCTTCAAAAAAGGTGAGATGCGGAGTCACCCACCAGGGGTTCGGCCATGATGATGCGGATCTTGCGTTCGGAGAGCAAGGTGAAGTTGGCGAACAGGCTTTTCAGGACGAATTCGCCCGGCTTACTCTCAGGGTCCACATTGACGGGCGCCATGACGACAGGACCCTTCCTCTCTCCTAAGGTTCCACTGACTGGCGGGATGGGGGGCTTCAGTCCCACTGGGGAGGCTGGGGAGAGTCAGGACAGATCAGTTAGTCCAAGATACTCAGGGAAGACTTATATTTTCACCCCTATTAGTAATATCGGGTTTATTTATTTTTGGGGTCATATTCATGAACACCTACCATGATTTGAAAGATGCATGTTAGCCTCTGTTTTATTATACTTTGACAAATTTGCACACTTAGTATGCTAAACCTTCCATTTACAGTTCCCTTTTGCAATTTAACCATAGATAAACAGACAACTATATCAGGAGTTGTTTTAATAATGAAAAATCTTTAAAACAGGATAATTCTCAGGCAAGTTCTGCATTATGAGGTATTTCCTATATATGATCTTAAAGTAGATATTAATGTTTATTAAATATGAAGATTTTGTAGATAATATCCTCAGAAAGTATGATAGATATTAAGCAGTGAGGCTTCATACAGCATTGCACAGCTCAAACACAGACCCTCATGCACTCTTTCGAGCCGCTTTTCTTAATAAACTCCATCTTTGATGAACAAACAGAATTTTGTCCACGTCAGAACACATCCATCATTGCTTTCTGTACACTTCAAACTTCTCAGCCATGACTCATTTATGTTGGGTGTTTGTCAAAGTTTGACAGGGTACACTTGGCAGACAGGCAAGCAGGCGCGAACACACACACACACACACACACACACACACACACACACACACACACACACACACACACACACACACACACACACACACACACACACACACACACACACACACGTTTATATTCCTCCCTTCTGATTAGATCATTAGGGAGACTGGGCACCATTCTATCTTGCGTTATGTTATGATTAACACACAGAGAAAGATAGACAGGGAGTGGTTGGCGTCTGCAAGGGGTTTACGTGAGAGACAAACGACAGAGGACAGACGGATATAAGGAGGGAGAGGGCATTTCCTGTCATGCGTGTCTATGAATATCAACAAACCCTTAAAAATAGAACAAACTCATCATTGTAAGAAATGGCATCTGTTTCTAAACACGATACGAGTTTAAGAACATCGTGCATCTATTATGAACTGTTACTACTAAGAGAGAATCATAAGTCAACCAATAGAACTCGGGATAAAACTGAAACAAACATAACGTCTGCAACCATAGCCAACCACGAGACATGACTCAAACAAATCTGCATGTTTGGTTCTCTGAACATGCAGAGAAGAACAAGGTGTGTAAACACTTCTTTACACACAGCGAAACAAAGCAATAATTCACCAGAGCAATTCCCAGAAGGGGCTAATGTGTGACAGGTAACAACTTTGTCAGGTCTAGCCGACCTTTCATGAACACTTGACCCGACCTCACTTGAAAGGTGAGACGTAAACACTAATTCCCGGACAGGCCTCTAGACCCCCAGACATCATAGACTGCAACCTGTTTTGTGGGAAAGCCGACCATTGAAATGAGGCAAACATGCGTGCACATGAACATAGAGCCCTGCACGCTTACCTAGGCCCTTGATGAAGCTGATGACACTAGCCCTGCTCCATTTAGTTGGCACTTCCATGGTGGAGACAGACAAGGACACAGTGGGTCGTGGTGGGTGAAATAGACAAAAACAGTGGGATGGAGGAGGGCTGGTAGACTGGGAGAGGGTTGAGGAGGGATGGCTGAGAAGTCTACAAGGTGTAAAAAACAGCTCCCATGATGACAAATAAAAGGTAATTCCTTGTGAAGAGATTAGCAGCAATGAATGAGTTTTTCTTTATTATCCAACTATTCCCTTATGCAAGTACAGACATCCGAATAATGTCTGGCTCTGGCACTAGGCAGGTTTAACCAAAGCTAAAAGTGTGAAGCTCCATCCTTCAGGAAATGATTGCCAGGTAAAGCGAAAAATGTGCACCCGGGGTCATAAAGAAAAACCTCATGACAGCTGTATTCCACATTTAAATCCAAATGAAAATACGCTGAATCCACAGACCGGAAGAGCCATAGCCAGGTTAAAACTGCCCGAGTGAAGACGTCCTGAAGCCTGCGAGTGTTGCAATCACAGAGGGAGAGTTGGTGTCAAGAGTGTCCGCTCAAAATAGCAGGAGAGACAAACCAACAAGTTCCGTGGTGACTCGTGAGTGAACTCTACCAACAGGGATCGAGAAATGTTCCAGCGTACTGCTCCAGCAGAGTCCTGGGTGGATCCGAGGCTGCGCAGGGCCCCATGCTTCAGAGCTACATGAGCCTGCAGACCAACTATCAATTTCTACTTTAGCTTCTGCTCCAATTCCAGCTTGCCATCACTCTAATGTACAGCAGCTCCCCTGACCTTGGAATCCTCGCATTGGGAAGTTGCATTGGAATAAAGTGCTTCTTTGAGAGTGGCTTTTTCCGGCTGTCTTATAGTTGTCAGTAGCAGTTAAGTAAAGTCTGCTCCTTGTGGAGATCTGACCAGAAGAGTTGGGTTGGAATTTCAACACTGCCCCGAGAGAGAGGCGAGGGGAGGAGGGAGGCGCTATATATAGACCACTGGAGGTCACTCTCTTACATACCCACCACTCCCACTGACCCCTACTCATACACAAGTGCACGCACATACAAACGCAGACACACTCACAGAGAAACACACATTTATATATACACATGTAGGTTATTTTTACAAGGCAGACAGTGACCAATCAGGAAAACTAAGTAATGTCATTAAACTACAAAGCACATGGCACTGATCTAATTCAGTGTAAAATACGGGGTTGACTCAAAGATAAACCGGTAAGGCTTCTCTGTGAGATACATTTAAGATGTGATAATGTGTGTGTGTGGAAATGTCTGTGTTTGTGGGAAAGCGTACATGCATGTGTGGTTTATCCGCGGTGGTGGGGAGAAGAAATGAGAGTAGGAAGACGTCACAGCGTCCTTTAAAGCTGTCGATATATAGCACACTAGAGTACTTCCAAAGGACGTCGTACACATTTCCCTGACTCTGCATTTTATGAGATGAGTCAGCAGAAACTATACAAGTCTACCTAGGTTTAATTACATTTTATATCCTAAAAGGTTTTTTAAGAGACTGAGATGCCGGAAAAGAAAGAAGCAGAGTTAGTCAAAGGAGACCTGGAGAATTACAGTGATTAAATCGATTAATCATTTGACTGAAATGTTGTCAGTTTTTAATCATTTTAATGATAATTGTCATTCATAAAACAAAACATTTCCCGCTTTCAGCTTCTTAAATTTGGCAGTTTAATGCTTTTCTTTGCTAAGCACAATAAAAGTACATTTAGGTTTTAGAAAACATTAATTATGATTGTATCGTTATTACATCCAGGCCTAGCATTACCCTTAATAGACTATTTAACATCTAGATTCAGGTTTACCATCATACATTATGTCATACAGACAAACAAGCACTCCAGATTGAGGAATCATAACTAACACGTAAGCTTTGCAAGTTGTCCTGGCTTGCAAACATATAAATCAATCCTGCTCAGCTTGTACAGTGTGTTGGAAGTGCCTTAGTAGAGTGGATTGCAATGAGTCACAAAATCACAGACAATTACCACAAACATACATCGACTGCCCTCGACAAGACCTAGCAGAAACAAACCTGTATGTTTTCAGAGGAGGCAGATGGTAAACTCTCATTGCGTGCGATTTTATATTCTTGTCTTTTTCATTGAGTTATTGTTGATCTTTCAGTACGTAAGTTATGACAGCTTAAAAAAATAAAAAATAAAATCTGTAAGCTAAAATGACAGGTATATTCACATTTTCAATTCAAGAGTTTGACACATCTAAAAATACAAGTGTTGTGTACTGTAGGTGTTTCTCAAAAATATAATACAATTCAAAATATAGGCCTTCTAAACTCATGGATGTAACAAACTCAGACTTAGCTGGCAGGTTACAATACTGTGTTTCCATTTTGATAGTGGGGTGACCCTTTTGTTTACATGTAGATTTAAGATTGATACCAGGTAGTTATGGAAACTGTCATATCTGAACAAGCTTGTTTTAAGCATGTTCGTTGACATAGTTGTTATATGCCTACGCATGATTATTAAAGTACGGCTGGCTTGAAATGGAACAAGTTCAATTTGATGAAGTCAGCTATTTATCTAGTGGTTTCACTCAATAAATAAATGATGCCTGAAACACAACCTAACTTGGAATTATCAGGCTTGCCTTTCTAGCTTACTGACTGCATTCATCGTCATGACCTTGGAGCAGACTACGCAACTAAATGTGTTCCTTTGGCTGATAGGAGGTGGAGCCTAGATGAGATAACACATTCACCATCTCATCGTGGTCCCTCTGATTTAGTTGTTTTATTACATTACATCAATTGCTGAGGGGGGAACCGTCAACACTTCCCCAGCAATTCCTCTGTTAGCCTTACACAAACATAAACCCCTGCTGACAGTAACCTTCAGCACAAACCTAATATGAGCTCCACACGGCAGCGCTGCATTCAACACACACCAAAATGTTTTTATGGTGTCTGATGAAAGGGACACACATGTACAATACAAAGACCTTTTAGCAACAGCCCACATGTATAAACGTTCATATAACTCTTAAACTACCAACAGAGAAGTGCCCACACATATATGTATACACGCACACAATGAAAGCTAACACAAGCAGAGTTCAGTCAATATATGAAAATCACAACAACAAGAGCTGGCTGATCTCTGCATCCTCTATGTCAGCAAGAAAAACATTGATGTTACAGTAAAGGCAAACTACAGGCTGCAAGGTGAGGACTGCATTAGATTCCAAGTGGTAAAATAAGACAGCAGTGCTTTCTGCTTTACTGTAAGCCCAGAGCTGAAAGTGGGGGAGAGTACAGTATGTCCAGTTGACAGTCTGCGATGATGCTGCAGGACTTCCATCCCACACTTCCTCACAGTGACGAACACGAGCTTCACCTTATTAAAGCTTAAGATATTTAGGTTTCATGGACTGTCAACAGCACATATTCTTTGGTTGCTATTATGATAACATACGTAAACATGATCTGTACATTTATTAGGAAACATTAAG